ATTTTTAATTATTTATTTAGATTACTTGGTACTAATCTAAATTAATTTTTTCAAATGCATGTACCAATTGGCATTTATAATCTCAGGATTTGAAAGTACTGTATCTACTGTACTTGCATTATGTTTCTGACTTCTGTAAGCATATCAGATTGGCTATAGAAGCGAGTATGTTGGGGTAATTCTTTGTAGATTATTTAAGGTTTTCTCTGATTTTATTGTAGTACTAGTATGACAAAAGTCTCAGGTCTGCAACAAAATCTATACTTTATTTTGTATATTTCATTTAATTTAGCAAAAATTACATTGTTTCTAGTTGAAAGTTTATATCCATCTTGGAAGTTTTATGTTATTTATATTCTGTTTCATTTTTCTATTCCTACATTCCGTTCAGCATTTTCAATTCTTTTAACTAAGAAAGTCATTTGGCAAGCTTAATCCTCTATAACTTGATGTTATAGTGCCTCCTACAACTTTATTTTCGCCACTCCCCTCCATTAATTTGAATACTGTGTCAAACTTTAAACTAAATAGTTAATATTAATATGCCCATCAATGTCCAATCAAGAAAATAAGCTTTAGATGGCATTAACTATCATATCTAAAATGAAAATACAACGTAAAATTCATTTCAATTGAATTCAATTCCTTTTATTTGCTACAAGAGCCATCAAGGGCCAATATCCACACAAAGAAACACGATACAGTAAAACAATACAATATTTTGTTAACTGTAATAGCATATGCTACATATAACAGCAACTTCTCTATTGGTGCTCTACTGCTCTAAAGTGCTAATAATTCTGTTTCTTTCTTATAACCTCTTTTTTTCTAAGGACATTAGCTATAATTGCAATTCCTGTAGTTCTCCACATTTCTTTGGTTTTGATGGACAGAAATGACATCAAGGAAACGTATGCAGATAGTGCCTCGGCCATTGGAGCTTAAGGCCTGGTTCTCACGAGAGCCATAGTATCCGGATAACCGTTAGCACCTGCGTGAGAACGCCCGATCGGTTAGCGCTAACCGTTAGCAATTGCTAACGGTTAGCAAGTTGACCTCATTTCCATCATTAACCAATCAGACGTGCGCAATTCCAATGAGGTCAGGGGTTATATTTTCCCATAATTCTTTTCGCACACGTTTGTTTACTTTTATTTCGATCATCACATGCTGTCTGCTCTGTTTTAGTTTTCCCGCACAGGCATTTTGTTTTTCACTGATCAGTTCGGTGATATTTTAACAGTTATCTGTTATAATGGCCAATAATAGACATGTTTGGTCGGACTCTGAGTTGTCCGACCTAATTGACATTTGGTCTGAACCAGAATTTTTAGATCTTGCCGAAGACAAAAAAAGGAGAAAAAAAAATCGAGTTTTTGAGCTTATAGCTAAATGTTTAAACGGTCTGGGATATGACATGACGGCTCAGCATGTTTGTAACAAATTAAAAAACCTTAGATCGATGTATAAAGAGTGTAGGGAAGAGGAGGCCACAAAATCTGGAGAGTGGACTCCGACCTGGAAATTTTATTGGAGGGTTCACAAGAACTTGGGTGGACGCCCAATGGTGGATCCCATGGAAGGCACTCTCGGTGAATCCTCATTACCTCCTTCTAGGCCTAGACAGCCGGAAACGTCCGGCCTTGATAACTTTTATAGCAGTGAGACTGAGAGCACTCCTAGCTAGTACCATTTTACCTGAAATTATCAAGCCAATCGTCGTCATCCCATTTTTGCAATACCGTTTTTTCCCACCAATTCCGGTCTTTGTTATTTTTAACCCAGAATCTACGAGTTTTGGGCCGTCCGCGTCTGTGGGTATGGAGGAGGGCTTCTCCTTCTGCGAGTAAACGCTCCTGCTCCGTTGCGTATCTAGCCTGGCTCACTTTAAGCTGGTGAAGGATGTCTAAACGTCGCCTTCTACATACTACAACTGTATTTAATAGACCGAAAATTAATGATAACTGAACGTTATCAAAAATATTGAAATCTATATCAAGCATCGGTAAAATAAGTGCTAACATGGGCAGAATATTCATCATGCATCTGTTTCATCAACCTCGAAATTTTGTTTTCAATTCTCACGCGAATGATCTATCGGTTGACTTCCGATTGAGTGACCTTTAAAATGACGTCATTTTCTTGGTATCCGGATCGGGATTTTCTCGAATGGACACACGCCAGCTAACGGTTAGCAGAATCCTGATTCTGCTAACCGTTAGCTGCCGTGTGAGAACATAGCCGAAGTGTTTCGTCCGCCATTAATGCAAATTGTTTGTATTTCCTAAGGCACTAATGAAATTGATCATGAATCAAATTTGCTGTAACATTATTTCATTTTGTATTGTACTGGTAAACCTGGCATTTTGGTCCTGACACAAAATTATCTTTTAGAACAGGATTTGATTACAAATGGGGATGTAAAACATGATTGTTCAATGCCAACTGTCCAATTTAAATTAAAATTTGTTGTTGAGGTTAGACCTTTACCTTCTATAAACCCCTCCATGCTTTGTCTTAAAGTTGCACTATCTGACAAAACCTGTTGCACATCATACATTCAAAAAGGCCTAGAGGAGTTTATATGAAAGTGAAAGGACCTCGAAAAGGCCTAGAAGAGTTTATACGAAAGTGAAAGGATATGGACGTTTTCATTCTATGTTAATGAAAAAGATTGTTGCCCTAAAGATAAAGGCTGCATAGATGTTGATTGTGGCATATGAAATCTTATATTTTGATGTTGAATTTAGAGTTGTATATTATCTTGTTGTAGTAAGTCAGTTCTTATTCTGTCTACTTATATTAAATGATTGATGGTTGCCATTCTATTGGCGATAGCTTCTACCGTCAGTCGAGGCCGGAAAGCCTTTGCTGCAGTAATGTGTTCAATTTCTCGATAAGCATCTAGGCAAAAGTTAGCACCTTCAGTACTCATCTACATGGTCCACATTTCTTCTTTCATCTTCTGATAAAAGTGGCCAGATGTTGCATGGCTTAAAAGCAGTTGGCAAGTAAAACCTGCATAACTGGATGCTCTATTCAAGAATAAAAAGGGTATTTAAACTGCTCTTCATGGTGGCTTGAAGGATGGAATAACCAGGTTTTCCACCATGTCAATGTGCAGTTGAAATTTATTACTGCTGGACCATATCGTTGACAAAACTGTTGTACCATTCTCCACTATCATAGAATGTACTATTTTCATATTTTCTGGCGGAGTCTTCCATGAGAATATCTTTAGTCTACTTCAAAAGTTTCCAGGAATCTCAGTATGATGGCTATGTGTAAAGCTGCTCCAAAATGATTAATGACTCTGGTAGCTACTTCAATCTGACAGGGCAAACAATAATATTTGGCATGAGGTCTCAGAATAAATGTTGTTGATTCCTCACACTTTTTGATGTCAGTCAGATCCGGATGTTTTATGTGTATGTGACTTTTACGCATTCACTGCACACATACTTTGCATTATGGCTACCATTGATGGTTATCCTGGTTTTCAAGTTAATGCTATTCTTGGAAAATTAAATAAACTATGAGTTATACAATGCTCATAAATATATTAAATAAAAATTTACTTCAATCTTTTCTTTGGACTACCTCGCGCCTCCATAACTGTCGCTACTTCAGGACAACGTCCGAATTGGCCTGAAAATGACCAACATTATTGCCATGACATGCCCGTACATGTGCGTTAATATTTAAAATGTTCAAAATCACTTTTATCTAAATTAGAACACCTCCCCCTTGTTCATTTTTGGAATGTTGATGAGCTTTGCAGAGTCAATGTCAGAGACTAGGTAACTTGTCACAAAGGAAAATGGCCCATCTCAAAACATCGTCCTCTTCAATTCTATTGTTTGTATTGAATGTTAACTATGGTTACATGAGAATTGTATGCTGTGTAAATGGAGGTTTGATTGGATTTGCTAAATGTTGCTGTCACTGCTGTTGTACACAAGTAGGCCTACAGCATATTGTGCTTTTGAAAATATGGGTGTTCCGGGATGAACAGTATTACCAATTTTTTTAAAATAAAGGCCCTGCTTAAAATAACTGCCCTGTCAAATAAGCACCCCGCTATTAGAAAATCTAACATGCATATTTCATATTGATTTGTGGCCTTTAAAAATAGAAGTGTCAATATCTAGCCCTGTCTGTTAAAAGAGAACTAGCAAAATGATTTTTTGTTCTAGAGAGGATTTTTGATATGCCATTAATAATAGAATCAACCTTAAAATCGTTCTTTGGTTATTTTTTATGAAGTTATAGGCGATTATATACGATTTTACCATGACGTCACTGGCGAAAAAGTAACAAAAGATCGTGTAAATAGCGCCGCGTAGGGTATCCGCCGCGTACGATCTTTGCGTGCATGCTGTAACAATCACTATTTACAGCCATGGTTACAGCATACATGCAAAGATCGTATGCGGCGGATACCCTACGCGGCGCTATTTACACGATCTTTTAAAAGAGTTGTTCTAGATTTGTGGGAATTGTCATGGCCTAGTAACCTAGTTTATTGGAGCAGCATAGTAAGGGAGGGAGGAAGGATTTGTGAGAGATGGTTTGAAGGTCGATTTCGGGTGCCGACTAATGGTCATACGCAGAAGGAGTGTTAGACTTGCCACGTCTCTTATTTTTTATTATTTTTCTCGTTCTGGACAGTGCCACCAATGAGAAAGTTAATTTAGAGATAAACGGAATAATTCGAAAAAAAAGTATGGGACGCCAATTAAATTAGGTAAGTGCAATAAAGAGTGAGTAACCTAAAATTAGGGCCTGGAACCCAGGCTAAAGGAGAGTAAACGCTGCTCAGCCCACCATAGTCCCCTGCGCTGGTGATATGCCGTGAAATACCGTATTAGACCTGTGGTTTGTACTCAATAGTATCCGACTAGTTTGTGGAAGTCCATTTTGCCGAAACCCGGTTTGCCGAGTTTATGATCACTTTTCTGAAACCCAGTTTACCGAATACAGTTCACCGAAAACACAAGAACCCAGTTTTCCGAAACCCGGTTTGTCGAACGCAGTTTGCCGAATTTTGTCATCACAGTCCAGTGTAGACACGCTTCTGAAATATGATGGTTGAGTCAGAGAGAAGCCATATTTAATATATACAATAAAAGGCAAAATACTGGAAAATAACAATGCCAATAAGCAAAAAGTAGGTGGTAGAAAAGTGATTATCTATGCTTCATGTGATATCGGGTTTTTAATCTTACTAATACTATTTCAAGTAGCAGGTCCAATTTACTCTACGTGTTCTTAAATTCGCCAAATTAAACGCAATTTTTTTCTCAGACTTCTATGTGATCTTTCATCCTTCCCCTGCGAATGTGGGTGATAGGAGAATCACCATATTATTGTTATTTGAAATTTGTTACAAAGTTTCTCAATGCTTTCTTCAATTCACCACCCTGATCTGAGTGTTGTTTAATCCAAGTATACATCAACTAAGACCTGTGTGACTTCTTTGCTAGTTTTTCTCGACAGTGGACACATCCATGAGTATCGACTAAAGACATCCTCATCGTTAAGTGTGTATTTTTACATTTCCCATAGACCATTCCCAGTTGCTTGCTCCTGTCAACAAGTTTTAGCTCCACTCCTTGTATGTATTAAAAGTTCTTAATTGTGCTTTTTTGGATGTTCTAGTTATTTGTTCCAAATAAGGTAGTGGTAGGATTAGGTAACTTGTTGGATGATGTCACTTGTTAAGTCCATGCATCTGGTCCTCCATCTTACGATGTCAGGACAGGTTCTACTTCCATGTCTTCCTTGAGTGATGGGATAGCTGGAAACCTGGTACCTAACTAACTGCGCGTTTGAGCTACAAAAATATCCCTTTGCCCCTTGATTCAGCTGATTTTCAGCATTCAAAGCATAGATATAAATGTGCATTACTGTGGTAGTAAAACTATCTATTGATATAGTTAATATACTGTAATCAAAACAATAAAACAAAAATTGTTATTTTTTTTTAATAGCAATGCATATGCCACAGCAAATTTTCTCTTGGTGCTCTAATTCTGCTCTAAAATGCTGTTTCTTATAACCTCTTTCTTATTCCTAAGGGCATTTATTGCAATTCTAGTGGTTTTCCACGTTTGTTTTGAAGGGACAGAAATGACATCAAAGAAAAATATGGAGACAGTTACTGCCTCTCGGCCATGTGAGGTTTTTTCGCCCACCATTGGTGCGTAGTGTTAGCATTTCTTAAGGCACTAACAAAATTGATCACAAATCCAATTTTCTGTAACATTATTCATATTTGTATTGTCGTACTGGTAAACCTGGCATTCTTGTGTCCTGTCAAAAGATAATCTTATAGAACAGGTTTTGATTTTTTTGAAAACAAGATAACTACAAAATCACTACTGCTGCTATTCTAAACTAAACAGATAATTTCCAATGTGTAAAAGTATATCAGGCAAATGGCGTATCTTCTATGATTTTTCAGGTGATGTGTCCATCAACATATTTACTTGTAGTGGTCAGGAGTGGAGCTAAATTAGTAAGAGGTAAATCTACAAATCGATAGCGTAGCTTTGCTACTAAATTTAGATTTCGTCGTGCATGTGTGAGGAGGCGAAGGAGAGCTGCAACCACGCCTGGGCCGTAACGCCTGGGCTATTGTCCAAACGGACATTTGTAGCTTAAAAATGTCTTTTTGGTGCCAGATATAATCTGATGGGGCTGGTATCATTACCCAAGCAACATAAATAATGTTAATGTTATTAAGTTTTGGTGCATGATGTGAGCTGGCGAGTTAAACAAGAACGTTGAGACGGTTCGATAGAGAAAACAGCATATCGTCTGTTATTGTCAAGATGACATGGCCATCGGTGTATCTATGAACAGTGTTCAGGAGTAGGGAAATGAGAAATATTGTCTGCAATGACTATTTCAGTTTTGTAGATAAATCTGTGACGTTTAGTTTTACCATATCTGGCGCCACACTTGTGCGACTAGTTTTTTGTTATGTCGGCCTGTCCATACATTTTCGGTATACGACGGAATTGGTCATTCAACTCTATGCATCCCCCAATTGTGTTCTATTCATTTGAATATTGAATTTATTATCAATACTTAACTTAAAAATGAAAATTTAAATGTTTTTCATAAGAATACAATTACAATCATACATTCTTTATATTTCTTAATCAAATTTTCTTTCATTAAGAACAAAATGTTAATACTGTACTCCTTTAATCATTCGCGATACATTGCTTATAGTGGGCAGTCTAAATATTCTTCATTAATCCGAAACATTTCATTAAAATTAATATATTTATGTTAACAGATTTAATAATAATCACTTTTTATAACATTTATATAAGCAGTCAGTATTTATTAACTGATACATTAACCATTTGGTTACCTTTCTCTACATAATAATTTTTAATTTACTTGCCTGTTAAGATTCAACCAGTGATCTTGTCATTTAATGTCTTAAGGAAATTTTGATTGTAAGATGCAATTTTATCTTTTTATAAAGTTCTAAATTCAATCAAAACAAATTGCCTCATAGACCAGTGTAGTAAATTGGTATTTGGTGATGCCCCTTCCAGGATGATTCCTCATCCAGTTGTTAGCAGCTGCAAGGAAGTAGGATTGCATGTTTTTGAACGCAGACCTGTCAAGTGGTTGCAAGTATTAAGTGGTGTGTGTTGGCAAGCACACAAGATAGTATTATTAGCCATGACAAATTCAATGGCCTCAATCGGCTGTACATGAGAGTCATGACCATCCAAGATGACTTTTCCTGGTGTTGCCTGCTTTCTAAAACGTTTCAGCCACAGAACAGAAATGTCTTTATTAATGTAACTAGTATCTAACATAGCCAGTTCACTTTCCCTTCATTTTTACACATATGGAGGGACAAAACTACCTGCGTCATTGTAGATTCCCACAACTGAAAACGTAACTGGTATTTGACATAGTCTAGTTCGCATTCCTTTCATTATTTCACATATGGTGGAGGGACAAAACTACCTGCGTCATTGTAGAACCCTACAACTAGTAATGTATTACACTGGTATTTGCATTGTCTAGTTCGCATTCCTTTCATTATTACGCATATGGAGGGACAAAACACCTGCAGCATTGTAGAACCCCAGAACTGGTAATTTGTTGTCTCCCAATCCAAAACCATGTCCAAGACTGGTTTTTATCTTTTCCTATTAGTATACATACTGAATGTTTAATCCATGATTTCAACCAAGTACATCTTTTCTTTAATCTCTATTATTTTTCATATCCAAATAAGGATGTCAAGTCAAAATTCCAGCTCTTTTAATAGTGCATTATATGTTCTCATATGTCTCCTAATGCTTGATTTCACCCAAGTACGTTTTTTTTTTTAAATCTTTTTATTTTCTTATTCAAATAAAAATGACTGAATTGGGGCATTAATTTACAAATCTTGAAACAATTGCAAATTGAAATAATTAAAATATTAGTTATTTTAAATTCATTAATTTTATAAATTTGCATTCATCTCTTTACTTTCACTCAGTATTCAAAAGCCTGTGATGGACTATGCCAGTGTCTTCTTCGGTATTTGTACCTTCTTCTCTAAATTCTGGCTCAAATAAATAAGCATTTAAGCCAAAATTTTCTTCTTTTTTTATATATTCTATGAATGATGGAGAACAGTCTATGATCAGCCTGAGTCACTGTCTGAATTTCCCTTTGGTGATCTCAAATACAGGTCTCCCTCTAATTAAATACTCCTCCCCTTAAAGATCACTTTTGTTTGGTCCCATATTATTTATTAACAACTGTCTTTTTTTATCTTTACTTTTTTAATCAGAGACGAAAGCTGCTAAAGGCCATGGTCTTTAATTGGTGGGAGACCTGTATTTACAATTTTTTATTACTGTACTTGTATATGAATTTACAAAATAAATTTGATATTATTTCAATAATTTTATAAGGAAACCATCCTTAGATTTTGTATACAGCAGGTCTTGCCTTTTAAAAATCATGGGTGAGTTACAAATCACTCCCCTTGATATTGTTTGGCGAGCTGTTTGAGTGCTTCAAATCGCTCTTCTTGTGCTTTTTAGGTGGGCTGTCAAAAAAAAATTCCCCACCAATGTTCAAAGTCTTTGAGATGCATATACCAAAACACTCATCCATGTCATAGGGTAGTAAATACTGTATTAATAGCTTGTCAAGAAACTATACAAATAGCCTGAATGTATCAATAATAGGAATGCTGTGTTTACTGTAATTATTTGGACAGAATGTCATTAAAAGTAAATCTTTAAAAACATTATTGATTCTTTTTTTCTTGAATCAGACTATGTGTATGTGGCTGAAGTGAAGACACAGGTCCTACTAAACACCAAGAGGACCAAACAAATTTTGAAAATTTATTAATTGGTAAAGTATAAAAGTTACAGGTACAGAAAGACAATCATTGGTCTCGTTTGATGTTTGGTAGGACTGACAATAACAACCATAGGCAAGTATTTAATGAGTGATCAAAACATTTATTCAACTTACGAGACAACAATCGGACATTCTTTAGAAGTCTGATTCATCAGAAGCCATGCTTCCCAGTTCAGAACCAGATTCACTGTGTACCAGTTCATCAAAGTACCAATTATAATAATGGTCACTGTCAGACAACACATCACTAATTTTTGCAGAAGAGTCACTATTTTGTGAGAACTCATCTTCAGATCCAGGCCCGGGATTTATCAATCTCATCTTGTCTTAAGTCAAAAAAGTTAAGATGTCCCTAAGCAAATATCTTAAGCTGACTTATCAAACCATCTTAGCAAAATCTTAGCTTAAAAGTCGTCTTAGATGGCGCATGCATAAAATCGACTTTTTTAATTTTAAGCAATTTTTAAGCTAAGCAATATTAATAAATCTGACTTAAGCAAAGAAAATGGACTTAAGATGAATTTAAGCTGATTTCTAGCTTTTGATAAATCTGGCCCCTAGTGACTCAGTTTCAGAGTCTACTGACATTTGATGACTTATAAATAAAAACATATAATTACTGTATTACAGTAATTATATGTTTTTCTGTTGCCTTTGATATTCTTTAAATTGTTTTCAAACTATGTTTATATTCTGTTTGTCTTTGTTCCGGGAGTTAAATGATGAACTTATATATATATGTTAATTTGTTATAATTAAATTAATACACAAGGCCACATAAAGTTTGTGTTGCCAATGTGTGACTAAAATCTACTATAGGCTCAGATTTTGTTGATAGATATCAGCCAAACAAGGTGTGAGACCAATTTTTGGCTTATAAAAGTATATCCTTGAAATTTTTCCAATTTCAATTGTAACAGGTAACACATGTCTTTTTGGCCTATCTATATACTGTTTGTAAGAATACTCTATGTACTGTATACTGTATACATCATTAAATCACAACGTCATTAAAAACGACGTCTGTGTTATCGAAAAGAGGTAAGACCAGAGATTTATAAAGCATCCATAGTATCAAGATAACAACGATTTCTGTGTAATAATGAAATTCTACTCATTGATTTTTCACAAAACTTTTCAACATGAATAGACCAAGTTAGAACGGGATCAAACCATATCCCAAAAGCTATCTACAGTTTGAATGACAATCTCCAATTTTGAGATTTCAAGACTTATTGTAGAATTTATAATGAAAACTCAAATAGGTACAGCTTCTTCAATGTAAGTTTTAGTGTTGAACAATCTACCGTGTTTAATAACGCCACTAATTTCCCCGATGGTTTTCGGCAGCACTTTGTCTGCACTCATAAACCAAAAATAATGGTCTTTGACGGGACTTTCAAAGTTTGCACCAAACCAACCATCCACCTCAATCGGGACTCTAAATCCTACCTCTTCTGTCTCTGTATAGCCAACCATGCTAACTTCTACCTTTGACTTTGGAGGCACTTCAGCTGTAACTGTTGCTTCAAATGAGGTTGCTGAGCTCGTTGACTCTGATTTTCCCGCTGTAACGGAAACGGAAAAAGAACCACCACTGATTTGAAAAATACCTTTAATAGTGACTTCGTTCTCGATTGTCAAATCACGTGTAACAAATGATGAGTAACTTGTTGCTTCATCCCATTCTCCCCGAATAGATAATGAGATTTGAGCCGTGGTATCAGCTTTGTTGACAGCCTCTTTTTTTCCAATAATAACCTTCTCTGGTAAAGAAACTTTATCATAGGTAAACTCGTAACCAATAAGCTTTATATAGGCATGGTTTCCATATTGCTCAGTAATAGTTGGTTTAACAGCGTCGAAGAATGTTTGGTCATTCAAAGCTATGCCAGCTGGTTGTACGCCAAATTCCTCTTTAAACGCTTCGCTGACTTCATTTGGACTGCTACTTAGTGCGGGTAGATCGTCAAAAGATAAAAGCTGCTTGGTTCTTTCTGCGATCTATTTTTAAAAGAAAATAATACATTTTAGGAGGGTGTTAATACATTTAATATTAAAAGTGCATGTATCTTGTTTATACTTTGAACAAACATGTTATTTGAATAAAAAATTGAAAGTAGACCTGGCAGCGCTTGTTTAGCGAACTTATTTTTAAAATATCGTCAGAGGAATAGGGCGAAAAAAATAAACATGAAAATTTGTTTTCTTATTTAGTGCGGGTAGATCGTCAAAAGATAAAAGCTGCTGGGTTGTTTCTGCGATCTATTTTTAAAAGAAAATAATACATTTTAGGAGGGTGTTAATACATTTAATATTAAAAGTGCATGTATCTTGTTTACACTTTGAACAAACATGTTATTTGAATAAAAAATTGAAAGTAGACCTGGCAGCGCTTGTTTAGCGAACTTATTTTTAAAATATCGTCAGAGGAATAGGGCGAAAAAAATAAACATGAAAATTTGTTTTCTTATTTAGCTAATGGTTTTGCAAAAAAATAAAATCTAGACGATGGAGAAAACAAAAATTATTGGTGAATGTTAACTGTGTATATTAATGGGATATTTAAATGCTTTAAATTTTAATTGGAAAGACATACCGTAAATGCTGGAGCGCCACTCTCAAATAAGCGCCACAACCAAGCCTGATTATTTTTTAGCTAAGCGCCACTCTCGAATAAGCGCTACGGCGCTTAATCAAGTTTATTTTACTCTGTGTGTAATGAAACACTGAGAAACAGGGTTTCCAATACAATGTATACTATGGAATGCCAAAAGGACAAACTACAAGTGGCAGTGGCAGAGAATGGATGAAATGTTGCAATCACTTGGGCCCAAGTGATCGCATAAATCTCAATAATAACATAATAAACTAATTTAATTTAATTTATTTAAATAAGTAATTTAACAAATAATTTTATTGATAATTACTAATAATATAACTATCTTACCTAATTTATAAATAATTATTAGAATATAATTGATTTAATCATTTTTTCACTAACGATTACATATTAACTAATAACTAATTAATAAATAATTTAATAATTTAAACGGTGAATGAGATAGATTTTTAAATATATTTCCGGAGCCTGACTTTAACTACTAGACCTATATATGAAAAGATATTGTTATAAATATCCTGTGCTGATGAATTACCATACCTTAGTAGAAAACGCTGAAAACACCGGAATATTCTGAAAAATAAAAGCAAATATGATAGATTAATTTTAGCTTATACCACCAAATTTGATGCCGGCCGATAGTGACTATGTGTGATGTGTCGTTTTGATCACTTGTTATTTACAAGGTTAGGGTTATTAGGGTTAAATATATTCTATTAGGGGCATCTAAACTGATTTATTAGTATCATTATAGTTAAAGTTTAATTAGTGGCTAATTATAAATTGCTGAATTTACTTTCAGCCAATCAAATAGATAAATATGAATTTATAATTGTGAATAGTGATTTTATATATTGTATTAATTCTAGGTTATACATTTTTATACTTTCAAATTGCGCAATTCAGTTTTCCAATTTTTTATGTTAATATTGACAGTAATTTGAATTATTGATGTCCCTTTATCTCAATATTTAAATTGATGTCCCTTTTGAATTATTGATGTCCATTTTTTCTAAATAATTAAATTAAATTCTTAATGATAATTATTTTTCTAATTATGATGTATGCATTTTAATTATTGTGTTACTTTTAATATTTAAATGTATGTACTGTATGTGTTTTTCAATATCTGAATAAATCCATGAAGGAAGTTCACAATTGACACTAAATATTCTAAGGCCCTGTACAGACTGTCAATTTTATTTGACAAAAAACTGTTGTATCTTATATAGTCAAAAACAGGGACAAGCACCACCAGCCGATAGATACAATTCAATTCAAATTTATTTGAGCATTACAAGTAACAAAACAACGAACAATAAAAAGATAATATAGTAAAACATTTACAGCTCAGGATAACCCAAAAAAAACCGAATCGGTTTATTCCCGTTGGGGTCCCTTAAATAAAAAATATTACATAAAAGTTGGTTAAAAACTAAAACAAACATTAAAATTTATTAAAAGCTTTAAAATTACTAATGAAAGTGAAACTAATAAAAGAAATAAAACCCATTAAACCTTAAAAGTATGTAAAAGTGGATGTGGAAAAAAACAGGTGAAAAACAAACATTAAAATTTATTAAAAACCTTTTAAAATACTTATCATTAAGTAAAACTAATAAAAACAATAAAAACTCTATTAAATCTTAAAGACTTAAAAGTGAAAGTAAAAAGCAGAAGGTATAAAATTTCACAAGATATTATGTTCATGTTTAAAGCATATTTATATGTTGAAACTGTTTACTGATTGTTTGTCATTTCAGATTTTGTTGCTAAATATATTTTTACTATTTTTTAAAATATATTTAAACTCGGTGAAGACTTGATCATATAGGGTAGTTTGTTCCACTCTTGTGTAGCTGTAACATAATTAATGTCTTACTGTTTTGACTGGTTATTTTAGGTTTTACAAAGTTCATTCTCCTTTGTCTCGTATTGTAATTAGGCCTTTCAGAAACTTTTATAAAATGTATATTAAGATACTCTGGTCCTATAGAATTGGCTGTTGTGTATACATGGTTTAATTTTCATTGGATAACTCTGTTATTTACATTTAGCAAACCAAGCTCGTCTAATTCTCTTTGGCCAACATGACTTTGCGGTCCCGCACCTTTAATAAAACGGACCATCTTATTTTGCATAACCTGTAATTTCTTTTTCATGTGACTTGAAACAGACGAATACCAAGAGGAGCAAACGTAATCGTAGTGGCATTGAATAAGTGCAGAGCAAATAATTTTTTTAGAATCTTTTTTAATCTCCAAATTTTTAGGAATCTTAACCCACCAGTAGTACTTCCTATATATACAGTAATAAACTTAACTAAACTTATTTGCCCCAGATACAGCCCTCCAAAAATGCAAAAAGTTTGTCCAGGCAGGTTTTGTCCCATTTTAAAACCATTGCTTTTCCAAATTGGTACATGCTACTACTTTTTTGATTGCAGATTTGCAATCAGCAGTAAAAGATGTTCTACATCACAAAATCTGAAGGTTATAGGTGTTGTACTTCCGAAGATAGTAGCATAAGAAAATCAAAGTGAATTTCATGGTGCACTATTTTGTACCACGCCGCCTTTTACATCAAACTGCCGCTACGGAAACCGAAAGGTCCACTGATTAATCTCAGATAAGAAAGTATAATACATACTCCAAGTATTGAAATACACGCCATCGTGTTGGGATTCAATATTTCGACATTAATTATGTCATCATCAGGAATGAAAAAATTACCTCTAGTAGGTGACATAGCAGTGATTTAAACAAAAGATCAAAGCATTCTTACTCTAATGATCAAAGCTACCTACAAAAACAAAGAAAGCTCTTTTGAAGCTCTGAGCCCATTGTTAAGCAAAGGGTGTAGTCTACGGGAAAACAAACAGGAATTGGAGTCTAAAAATTTCAGGTTTTTCAATTCACATGAATAACTGTCAGTATAAAAAAATTTTAAAATCTATGATCCCATGGCATGGAATGACCCAACTTTTGTTATTTCCAATTACGTTAAAATATGTGTAGTTTTCAACATAGTATATAACCATGAAGGAACTGAGTACCAAACCTGAAATTTGTGGTATGAGTAGATCTAATATATCTGATTAACTGGTGTAAATTTAAGAAAAGATTTTAACTGTCTATATGACGAAACGAACCCTTAATGGGAAACATAGGCTTTTTTTTACTTTTTTTAGGGCTGGTCCCAACTTTGAATGGATGCCATTCCATTTTAATTCATTTGATTAGCCTGTGCTTGCTTGTGGCTAGAGACAACTACCCAAAGATAATATATCTGTAATATAAGTGTATAAGATGTATACACTTACTCATATGGACACAGGGTGACATCAAAAATCACAAAAAAAAAAAAAATGCGTCGTTAAACAAAGTGGCTATTTTGAGTGCAGATAACTTCAAGAGAGAAGGGATAACAGTTAATTTGATGCCATATATTTGTAATATGGTGGAAAGTAAGTTAGATACCAAGGTTTACCTTGATAACTTTTACCAATCCCGAGTTATAAGCTTCCAAAGTTGGAGGAAATTGCGTTTGCGCATCTTTTTTTGGGCGTCAATATCTCGGAAACTACATATCCAGTAGGGCTAATCTTTTGTGTATGTTGATTTTTCACATAGTGGATCACTTTTATGGAGTTTCATCAAAATCCAAGACGGTCGACCTGGGACCTCTGGTTGATTTGACACGGAATTACCCATTAGAAATTTAATATTTGACCAACTTAAAGAGAATTTACATATATTTTGGGAATTATTCACATCAAGCTCCCCTGAACTTAAATACCATCTTTTGTTTGATGATTTAGAAATCCATTACGAATATAAAATTTTAACAACAAATTGTATAAACCCTATTAATTATACTATTGCGAGTAAAGTTTTCGATAATCATTGTAATGTCATAGAGGAAGAATTAAGAAGTAACAAAGTAGGCCTATATGTCAGTCCATTCAAGTAAGCAAAACTCAACGAAGTGCACATACTGTCTCTTATACACATCTAGATGTGTATAAGAGACAGGCTCTGGTATGTGTATATGTATGTTTGTGTATGTATGTACGTGTGAATATGTGTATGGGTGCAGGTGTGTGTGTGTGTGTATGCATGTATGTATTGTGTGTGTATGTATATATGTATGTATATGTATATATGCATATATACTGTAATATACATATATATATATATATATGAGTGTGTATATGTATGTATATGTGTATATGTGTGTGTTTATGTGTATGTGTATTAACTACTTACTTATATTATTAGTATTTATTATTATTTCTATTACTATTTTTGGTAAACCCTTTTTTGTATATATTTCGTTCTACTGCAGTATTTTCTTACTATATTTAATCACAGTAATTAAGTTTTTACTGATTTTGTTATTGTTGCACATCTTTATATTGTGCCTCTGTTATAAAAGAGAAGCAATAAAGTTACTTACTTACTTACAAAATCTTCAGTAACCTCTTTAAGTTTAAATGCTCCATGCACTATACCCTTTTGACTGTAATATTGTTTAAATTTTTGCCATGCAACACCAAATCTTAAACCTAATTTTGGCAGACTACTAGCGATCCTGGCAGCAACAGTCGTGAAAAAGGAATCAAAACAGTTTGCAACTTCTATTCTATCAAAATGTATAGTGTCATTTTCCTTAAGAACAATAGTAGGAGACAATTTTGATTTAATACCATAACCTAATGACTTTAGGTTCTTCCATATTTGTTTCGATTTTCCTTTGTTTTCATCAATTAGTTGATTTATGTATTCTGCTTTAGTCTTGGATATATCTCTTTAACCTGATTTCTTAATTTACAGTACTTCTGATAGGTATACTTTGAGACCTATCTTTTTTAAATTTTTGAAGCAAGATGTCACGAGCATTTCTTTCTAAAATATAATTATTCATCCATCTTTGAAAAATATGAGTTATAGTGAGAGATTAATCAAATTGAATCTGTATACCTTGGAACAACGGAGAGTTAGAGGAGATCTTATTGAAACTTTTAAAATTGTTAAGTCCTTTGAAGACGTGGATTGTGGAACATTTTTTATGTTTGTCGAGGACACTAGCAGGAGAGGACCTGAATATATATTATACAAACCAAAACTTAACAAATTTTTGAAATGCAGAATGGAATTCTTCTCACATCGCGTAATAAACATCTGGAATAGCTTACCACAAGATGTTGTTGCTGCCACAACTGTAAACACCTTCAAGAACAGACTGGACAGCTGTGGGGTCTTAAAGGCGTTTGCCTAACTTTTCCCACTTATATCAAGTATGAAGTATCAAGTAAGTAAGTATCCATGGTTCTGTTCTTGCTTTTAATCGCACTTCTTTGATTGGAGCTACATCGTTTATTACTTTGAGTAATAACCCTTTAGAAGTATTCCAAGCAATATTAACATCATTTGAACAAGTTACCGTGTCCAATCCATTTCTGATAATTTAGATTTAAAGTTGTCTATGTTGTAGTTTTTTAAAGATCTAATTTTGACCGTTTTGTGTAAATTTATAGGTTCTCTGTCTATTTTACGTGTACAAAAAATTAT